AGATATATGGCAAACTCTCAAGTTTAATTTTTTTAATGCTTCCTAGTATTTAACATAAAAGATTTCTTCCCAATACCTTAGCCAGGGAAGATTAACTCTTTTTCTCATTTCATACTTGTGGAAAACTTCATCAAGTGTATAATCTCATAACTATTTTAATTTATACCTTTTTGGTATCTTCATCATATATTTAATTCATTCTTTCAACAAATATTTGTGTGCCTATTATGTACCAGATGTTTTTCTGTGTCCTGGGTCTACCAGCAGAAAAAATAGACAAAATCTCTGCACTCATATTCTAGTGGGAATATACAATAAGGAAGATAAATAAATACATGATAGTGTTAAGTTCTAATGAAAAAAAAAAATAAAGCTGAGACACAGATGTTAAGGGCTCAGGTGATGGAGGGATCGAGTTTTTCAGTAAGGTGTCCCCGAGAGCCTCGCAGGAAAGGTAACTGGATAACTGCCTCACGGAAATAGTGGAAAGAGCAGCCCTAGCAGAGCAACGCCGAGGGCTACAGCCCTGACCTGGAAGCATGTCAGAGGTTTGAAGGAGCATCCAGGACACCATGTGACAAGAGCACAGTGAGCAAGGAGGTGACACCACATAGGTAATAGAGGGTCGCATTGCGTAGAGCCTTACTGGTGACAGTTAGGACTTTGTCTTTCATTACTAGGGGTGAAAAGCACTGACGCTTACAGGAATGACGTCTGATCTAAACGTTCTAACAAGAGCATTCTGACTGCTACACTGAGAGAGGTCCAAGGATGGACAAGACTAGTCACGAGCTGTTGCAGCAATCCAGGCAAGAGATGCTGGTGGCTTGAATCAGGGTATCAGCAGTGGGAGTGGTGGGAAGTTGTCATATTCTGCACGTATTTTGAAGGTGGAGCCAGCAGGACTGCCGGGGACAAATATACAGCACGTGAGGAAAAGAGGAGTGAAAAATGATTCCAGAATTTTTTGCTTGAGCAGTTGGAAGGATAGAGTTGCTCCTAACTGAGATTTGGAATAGTGGACTTGGAGGTGCAGATCTTGGAGGAAGTCTCAGCAGCTCAGGGCAAGATACATCATGTGTATCTGTTAGACATACACATGGAGATACCAAGTAGGCATTTGGACATACAATTTTGGAATTCAAGGGAGAGGCCTGGGCATGTAGCTATAAATATGGGAGTCCTCAAACTGTGCAGTTATTACTTGGAGAAAAATAGAAAAGAGAACAAGTCCAACAGCTGAACCCAAGGCATTCTAATGTTTAAAAGTCAGGAAGATGAAGAGGAACCAACAAAAGAGATGGGTAAAGAGCAGTCAGAAAGATAAGAAGAAAACTAGATGACTGTGGTGTCTTGGAAGCCAAGTGGAGAGAAAAAAGTGTTTGAGGAAGTGGGGGTAGTCAACTATGTCAAATCCTGCTGATGTGTAAAAAAAAAAAAAAAATTGGAATTGAGAATTGGCCATTAGATTTAGCAACATGGAAATCGTGTAGGCTGCTTATAGCT